TTGGCTGACGAAACTATTTCTCCCGTCCCGATGCTGTACCCTGCCTGGAGTGCTAATACCTTGAAGGGGACACTCGAATGATTAGCAAAACTGGGATGACTGGGACTAACGTCATCCCAGTTTGAAGCAAGGAGTGTGAACCAGTTTCGAGAACAGTAGAAGTGAAGTCCTCGAAACTGGTTCACACTTCTTGGTACGTTTCACCCTTTGTGCTTATCGTTGGGCAGAACTCTTCACCTCCAGGACGATAATACTAGTCACTAGGAGTTCTTTTAATGTTCCCCCCGAGGGCATGAGCGTTCAGCCTGTTGCAGCTGCTGCTCGGAAGTCAAATGGGTTTATAGCTTTCGACTGCATCAGGCGTCTATTTTGTAGAATTCAGAAACGATTCCACTCGGTTTACCCTGAGCTAATAAGTGCGACCCTCTAAGGCAACAGAACGATTCCAACTTGATAAGGCCGCTAATCATCTACCCTTTCCAGAGATCGAAGACTGTTTGGTGGTGTTTTGTATGGCCACCTATGGTGAAGGCGATCCAACGGATAATGCCCAACAACTTTATGAATATGTCAACACAACCGATACTGATTTCAAAGGAGTCACTTATGCGGTTTGTTTTATTTTACAAATCGATACGAGTCTTATAAAATTTGAAATTTGCAAGTTGTTTTGAATTCTACAGTTCAACGAGTTGCGCGTAAGCTTTTACATAAGATGCGATTTACTCGACAATTGGCATTCCATTCCGTTTGTGCTGTATAACAGCTTCCAATCAATTATCGATTTCTCGATGTCCTACTGCTCACTACAGTATCGCCGACCATTCCAACATGCAGGCTAAAGTTCAGAGAAAGATTCTTCTGAAACGGAGGCCATCGTTAGGTCCCAATTATTGCATAGTTTGGGTTATGGCCGTAGTCCACTTCATTTTGATTTTAATAGCTCGTGAGAAAAAAATTGATTTGATAGCTTGAGAGAGTCTGTTGTGTTTTGTGTCTACAGAGGTCGTGTGTGTATTACGGCGTCAGCAACCAGGTCGTTATCGACGCTACCGACGCACAAATAGACGGCTTAAAAGAACGCGCTCTTAAAGAACAGACAAACAGGAAGTACTGAAAATGCTGCGGACGCCCCGTCCTTACCCTTAATACGTTTTTGGCTACGCGTTTGATTTTTTTCATGTTGATTGCTATTGGTGGCTCATATTTTCTGATCCTGAAAAATAGTCACCTGTAGGTTTCAAAAGGCGATTAGTAGTGCTACACATCTGCTCTCAGGCACTTGACACCTATCTACACGAAAGAGAGAAAAACTAATGTGTTGAAAAACCAGGGGTGCTTGATTCTACAGAAGGCTGTCCTGTATTTTTTGCGAGGCACGACCCCCTCGGAAACTCCCTCCTTGGTTTAGAAAGGTGATTCTAAAAATATCATGGCAAACCTTGGTGGTAAACGTGATCTTGCCTCACTTGTATATCACGCGCTATAAGGAAGACGACAGACAGCTCATGGCCCGTTACGGTGCGGTTTGCCGCTGATTGGTAGCTGGAATGTCTAGAAGGCTCCCGCAGACTATGAAAACCCCTTCGTGTACCTGAGAGGTGGCAGTGAGTGATTATCCTTATAGAAGATAGCTCCACAATGTTGTTAAAATTACACCATCTGAGGTTCGAGCGAATGTGGAACACATGGGCGCTGAGGTCGTCGTCAGCCATAGCAGCCACCACTAGCGGTCCGCTAGCATAGGCGCCATTGGCCGCAGGTTGTTCGGTGGTGGTGTGTGATTCCTCTTGTCCCTGTTCTTTCCGGCCCCCTCCCCGCCTCTCTCCCGGGCTCCCAGTGCCTCTTCACCTTTTGCTTTTTCGCATGGTCGTTCAATACTGAAAACCTGCTGGAGAGCTGAGGGCCTTATTTGGAAGACTTTCGTCTGCTTCTTTGATTTTCTCTTGATTTAACAGTCAACCTTTCAATTCATATTAGAACCTCAGTACGCACGACTTGCAATGGCGAAATGTGTATTTGAAAGGCAGTGGGCACGATTGCTGGGGGCAGACGGTTGTCGCTAATGTTAAAGGACTGAGTGGGATGTGGCCAAACACATCTCGAGCCCTTCCACCAACGACGTTAGCCACGACCGCCCGCCTCCAACAATCGTGAACACTGCCGTTGAAACGCTGTAACGATCAGCCCTGTGACGACGAATGCTACAAAAATTACCGATTGTCTCATATTTTCATCACAGTTTCTTAAGGTGTTTGGACTGGGAAACAAGACCTACGAACATTTCAACGCCGTTGGAAAGCTGTTTGATAAAAGACTCGAAGAACTTGGTGCCGAGCGAGCGTTTCCGCTAGGTTTAGGAGATGATGATGCTAACCTGGAGGAAGATTTCATGAGGTTTGTTTTGCGTTTCGATTCTTCCTTTAGAGCTAAGTAGCTGTAAGCATGGCGTATCCCTGGAGAGGTTTAAGGAGGTTTAGCTGTTGTGTCTTCCTACCTTTTGAACTAGAGTGTTTAGATGGCGTGAAGCGTTCCTGCCAACGGTCGCTCAGCGTTTTGGATGGGAACTAAACACCGACGCTGAAACTCTTCGTCAGTACCATCTAGAGTTAGTTGATCACAACGCCAATGTCACTTTGTTCAAGGTGAGCGTTTTGTTCTGTAGCCGTTTGCCCATTTTCCTGCGTCTCTGAAGTTCGTCTCTGAAGCTAACTCGCGTTTCAAGGGGAGTTATGGTCGCTTTGGGTGCATTTGAACGCCTCCGTCCTCCATTCGATCAGAAAAATCCGTTCCCGGCAACGATAGCAGTAAATCGTGAATTGCACTCAGACAAAAGTGAACGTAGCTGCCGTCATATCGAGTTCGCCGTTGAAGGTATTGATTAGGTTTATCGATAAAATTGACTAAAGAAAATGCTTTTTTCGAAGATCAAGATATCCGATACGAAAAGCTCGAGTGATCATCTTGGTGTTTTCCGACAAACGATCCAGAGCTTGCCGTTCGAAGCAATCACATTATCCAGCCTGGAGTTCAAATCCAGAAAACAGGTAGACGAACTCATGGATTTTATTGCGTTTCGGACATAGTCAGATGAATTTAGGCATCGCTAATAATACATCGACGAATAATCTTCAAAGCGAAATCCGTCTCCCCTTGCCCTTGCACCTACCGTACACGCCTCTGGACGCATATGTTGATATCCTGAGCTCCATTAAAAGAGTCACGTGGCTGAAAGTTCACATGTACATGTTTAGGAACAAGAAAACGAGGCGAGTTTAGGGTTTCCGGGAAAAATATCCCTCGGGGGAAAGGTGGCTCAAACACCAAGTTTACCGTACACTTTCGTGTACTGTTTCGGTGTCTTTCTGCCAGGGCTCTTTTTAAATGTGAGAGGGGGGGAGAATTTTATAGTCAATTCCAATAATTATAATGGAATAATAGAAATAGATTTCATTACTTGGACAGGCAAAGTCAGCGCTAGTTAACCCTTCGGAGAGGGGATATTCATAGCGGGCCATGCAAATTGAATTCTGCGTACAAAACTGGAACTATGGTCAAAGAGCACGAAAGGTCCGGCTAGGCCTAAAAGCGACGTAAGTAAGCTTCCTAGGTAGCTGGAGGGATCTACTGCTGTTTACGGGGAGGTCTTGTAAAATAAGTCTTCCTGAAATGCCTGGTCTGTACAACTCCCCCCCCCCTTTCCCCATCCTCCAGTCTTTCCCAGGAGAAGTGCCGTCGAGCGAAGGGGGAGGGGAGGGGGTAAAGTGCACGTGAAACACGAGAAACCGAAAATATTCTTTTCGAAAGCGAATGCAACCCTTCTGTGGAGACCAAATACCCTCCCCCGGGATCCGTTTTGTGAGACGTGCCCTGGTAGCTGGACCAGTTTTAGTTACTTTAATCTCATCCTTATTAGAGTTATACCAGTTTTGTATAGGGAGTCCTTTAGGTGTACTCCCCGCCGAGGTTATCATCGCCCAAAAGTTACCTTCAGTATGACCGATAATGGATTTGCTAATTTGCAGGCAATCAGTGAATATTGCTCGGACGAGAAGGAGAAGGCGTACCTTCAGCTGCTATCCACAGCGACAGAAGAGGGAATGGTGTGTAACGTTGATCTATTTATTTTTGGTTTATCTTATTTTTATTTGTTTATATTTTTTTCAGCTATGTCTACTTTTTTTACCCTAATCTTTGAACATTTCAGAAGGAATACTCTAGTTACATAGTGAAAGAACGACGATCTATTATCGACGTACTACGAGCACATCCCTCATGTAAACCGCCGATTGAGTATTTACTGGAGCTGCTTCCACGTCTGCAGGTCGGTTTATTGACTCGATTTCGATCGATAGCTTGCCGATTGATCCAAATACGACTTTCTCGCCCCGTTGGGGATCATACGAGTCAGCTATCGGCCAAGGAGCCCATTTTATGACAAAAGCGGTGCCGCGAGTGGCATCACCCCCGGGCACGCGCTGTCGCTGGTGAATTTTTCTCTAAACTATAAGTATTTGTCCGGAAAGTTTTCGGTGTTTCACTTTAAACGATCGTAACTTTTTTAATACTCATCGGATTTGATCGAAATAGGCACCATTCGAATCAGCACACTTTTGCCAATGTGACAGCAGTCGAGAAATCCCATCAAAATAAAAAACTGGGTGGTCGTCAAAAATTCACGAAATCCACGAAGGCTTTTTTGCCTGGTCCTGTTTGATGAAGTATTTCCCAGCAAGGAAGTTCTGAAAATGTTTGAAAAGGGAATATTCGGTTGGTGGAAGGTCTGGAGAATATGGCGGTTGAGGTAGAACTTCAACCCCCAATTCGTTCAATTTATGGATAGTGATTTGTGAAACGTGTGGGCGGGCGTTGTCATGCAAAAGGAATCGGACCCTTTCTTTTGATAAGTGTTGGCTGCATCTGACAAAATTTTCGGTACAATTCGTCGATTTCTTCACAGTAGGGTTCTGCTGTGATGGTTTGGCCTGGTGATAAAAAGTTATAGTGGATCACACCGCCGATGACCACCAAGCCGTGACCAGAATCTTTTTTTCGTGAGGGTTCGGCTTTAAAAATTACCTCGGTGGTTCGTCGAAATCCAACCACTGTCCGGAACGTCTCCTGTTATCATACATGACCCATTTTTCATCACAGGTGACAATTTCGCCCAAAAACAGGTCGTTTCTGCTGCGCAAAAGCAATGCAGAAGGAACCTCGAGACGTGCCGATTCCTGCCGGTCACTCCGATTGTGGGGCACCCAATTGTCGAGTTTTTTTTTCACCTTCCCAATGCGTTTCCAAAACCATCTGCAACAGTGGATTTGCCAAGGCCTAGCTCTTCTGCTATCTCTCGAACTGTTTGGGATGGGTCAGCCTCCAAAATCCCCCTAAAATCCTCGTCAGATATTGCTTTAGGTCGACCGCTATGAGGTTCATCTTCAAGGCTGAAATCTCCAGAACGAAATTTGTTGAGCCATTGCCGCACAGTGCTTTCTCTAGCACTATTGGGCCCCCACACCTGGTTAATTTGTTGAGCTGTTTCGATTGCGGATTGCCCCAATTTATAGTCGAAGAAAAAAATCGTCCGAAGTGCTCTTTTCACATGCTTGAAAAAATCTTAAAGGGGGTTTATCAAGCAGTGGTGAAACGGCAATTATACCATCAGATAGCGCAAGAAATTCTCTACAGGATGTGCTACTGAGAAGCAAGGCAGAATGAGTTTTTAATCAGCAGTGAATGTACAAAAAATAGGTGCACAAAACGCTGAGAACTTTCCGGACAACCTAATACTTATTTCTAAAATTCACGCGCGCAAGTCTTAGGCTTCGGGAGACTGTTTAGCACGCCCGTCACTCAATTTCTTCACCAGTTTTAAAGCTGGCGCGTAAGTGACAACAACTGTGGAAGAGCGACGATAACGATGCTGATACGTCTTGTCGCTCGCCGCGTAAGAAAAAAACTAAAAAAAAAAACACTGGCTGGGACTACGCTTACACTTATCACTTTAACCACCCCATCATCCGCGGCCGAAGTAGCGACCACATGCTGAAACGGCGAAAAAATCGCGAAAGGTTCGCCAAATCGCCGGAAATGTTCAACCGAGTAAAGCTGGCTAAATAGATCTCGGGTTTCAAACTGAACATTTTGAACACAACACAATTTCGCAATCGGGAAGAACTTTTCTAAGGTCAAATCTGATCCCCCTTCCCCCATTGGGGAATCCTCTAACGTATGATGATCGCTGATCACACACTCGAAAATTACCTGCTGAGATTCCCCGTGTTAAGCGACGCGATTGAGACATCGGCGCCCGAGGTGGCGTCACATGCGCAGCGCCGTAGCAGCATCTCTATTCCACTTCAGCTGGATGTGCTATCCTACTATAATAATCCGCTGAGTTTGTCTGTTGGTGTGTGTGTGTACGTGTGTGTGTATGTGCGTTTGTGTGTGCAGAATGTAATGTGTGTTTGGACCGGAAATTCAACTCCCTCCAAACCGCCGACAGAGCGCTTCAGACCAATAAGTGATGCTGAGGATCGTGGGGCACGAAAACATATTAATGGGTGGCAGGAAATGTAACAATTGATAAGATACCATAACGGGCCTCAGAGGGGTCACCAAAGTCATAGTGCGGGTCACAGCAGTGACGGGACGTTGGTTCCAAGAATTAAGATAGGAGGCAGGATGGGAACATTATTGGCCGGTGGCAGGAAGTGATAACGGCTGATAAGATACCATGAGGAGCTTTAGAAGCGGAGGGTCACCAACCTCATAACGAGCGTCACAGCGACGGCAGGAACGTTAGTTCCAAGAAATAAGATAGGGGCAGGATGGGAACATTATTGATGGGTGGCAGGACGTGATAACACAGCTGAATAAGGTACGATGGGGACCACTTCAGATAGGGAAGCCTCCCGAAATCAAGTCGTAACAAACTGCGGGAACTGTTTTCAGCAGGTGTTTCAGAGCGTGCCGTTAGGTAACGGGTAGATGCACGTTGTGATACAGCTCTCCCAACAAGGCTTCAAGGTATATGTTCGACATCTTTACTCTACTTTGCCCAACTGCAACTGACCACTGTGACCTAAGAATCAACTGGGCAAATGCATTTAGTCGGTCCGACGATGTTTTATCCTTCAGCCCAACTATATATCGCGAATGATTAGAACCGCTAAACTCTCGAGTTTCGACAAAAAGTAGAAGCTTCTACAGATGTTTGCCAGTGAGGAATGATAAGAGCCATCAACAGACGGTTATGAAAGCCGCTCAGCGGAATGTACTAGGATGAAGGACATTTCAATATGATTTCAATATTGTTACCATCGAAAACTCTTTCCAACCGCCTAAGCTGTCTTATCTTCCATTGGGAATGGTCGCAGTGTTTTAAGAAGCAAGATTACCCTATTATAATTGCTTAAAGATTAAAACATTCTCGGCACTCGACGCATTTGCCCATTGATTCTTAGGCCACAGTAGTCAGTTCAGTTGCAAGTAGAGTAAAGATGCGAACATATACTGAACCTTGTTGGAAACTATATCACAACTCATCTCCCCCACCATCTTACCTAACCACCTCTGAATTACCTTTGAAAACAGCTCCGCCAGTGTTTTGGTTTTTAACGGGGGGGGGGGACCTTGAATTGTGGGGGCTTCCTCTCTGAAGTGGCCTCCTATCGTATCTTATCAGCTGTTATCACGTCCTGCCACCCATCAATAATGTTCCCATCCTGCCCCTATCTTACTTCTTTGGAACAACGTTCTGCCGTCGCTGTGACGCTCGTTATGAGGTTGGTGATCCTCCGCTTCTAGCGAGTTCCTTAGGGTATCTTTATCAGCCGTTAATCACTCCTAGCCACGACCTTAATAATGTTCCCATCCTGCCTCCTATCTTAATTCTTGGAACCAACGCCCCGTCGTTGCTGCGGCCCGCGCTATGACTTTGGTGACCCCTCTGAGGCCCGTTATGGTATCTTATCAATTGTTATCATTTCATGAGGTTGGTGATCCTCCGCTTCTAAAAATCCTCATGGTTCACTCCTGCCACCTGCCAATAAGTTTCACCAGATTGGCCAATGCTCGATGAAAAGAGCGAGAAATAAGATTGAAATGGCCGTACCTGAAAACATGGAAATCAGGCCAAGTGTTTATGGGATCAGCATGTATTAATACTGTATCAGCTACCATAAATTTAGGCCATTGCGCCCGCAGTAGTGCGCGTATAGCCAAACTTTTTTATTTCAAACTACAAGCTCAACTAGTTAGAAAGCACTCGCTGATTTCGCTGCCACACGTTGCCAACGGGAACTGTTGCGCGTTTATGTTTGCCGCCCGCTGTCTGTAGTGAATGCGGACGCTGTTCGGTCTGGAAAGGGGCGGGGGGTGCTTTCCAACTTCGCTAGTCTCTTTCTGTAGCTCCTGCCAACTCAGACGTCTCATCTTAGTGGCACTGTGGACTCTTAGCAAGTGTAATTGAAGTTGGTGCTATTACATAGCTTTACAAGAGTTCACAGGTCGTCACAGAAGGCGACGGAATTATCGATGGGGACATTCAAAATGCCACCACCAAGTCGAACTATGCCGAAACTCGAATCAGCTCACATTTCAAGCATTTATCAGCATTTCAGGCCCGCTACTACAGTATCGCATCGTCGCCAAAACACCAAGAAAACCGTATTGCAATCTGTTGTATCGTCACTAAATACACCATCGGAGATCGCTTGATCAAAGGAGTTTGTACGAACTATTTACTTGGGAAGGTGGGTACAATCTCGATAATGTTGTAGTTACGCTGCCTGGCCACCTACAGATCAATTATTGATTTTACAGGAGGTAGATGATCGTACACCAGTTTTCGTGCGTAAATCACAAGTGCGTCTCCCACATCGTGCAACTACTCCAGTGATTATGATCGGTCCTGGAACGGGTTTCGCACCCTTCAGGGCCTTCCTTCAAGAACGGAAGTTTCAGAAGGATCAAGGTAGGTTTTCGTTTATGGTGACTTCATATTTCCCCCACTTAGCCGGGTTTAGGTCAGGAGGTCTGAGTTGCGACGACACAGCGAAAACGGCGTTGAGAGTGGTTCCGCATGACCCGAGAGCCGTAGTGAGCATTGATATTCACGCTGCTACGCGCGCGATGGCTTAGTGCCCGCGCGACACCGCAACTCGGATCTCCTGGCCTCCACCCCACATCACATGTCGCTAAGGTGAATACTTCGGCAAAGGGAGTGTATGGCGCAGATTGAATAAGACTGCGTTCATACTTCGCGAATTGGCCAATGCGATCGCGCAATCGATTTGGACACTATGATTGCGCAGGCGTTTCGCCTCTATTTATCTCGTGATGGGCGATCGACCTCAGCTGTCCGTTGGCGCCAATTGCGCGACGGGCGGGAGCAGCGCAATTGGCGCCAACTGCGAGCGATGGGCGCACAGACAGATTCTCTGATCGCGCGACCAGAGCGACGAAATCGCGAAGTATGAACGCATCCTAAGCTATCGATCAAGCTGAAGGGCTGTTTAGATTTATTAATAATATTTCAGGGAAAGAAGTCGGACCAATGATGTTGTACTATGGTTGTCGACATCCGCAGCATGATTACATCTACCGGGATGAGATCGAAGAAATGGTCAACGATGGTGTAATCACCGATTTGTTTTGTGCATTTTCGCGTGCTCAAGAACACAAAATTTATGTGCAGGTACGATTATCAACCGATTTTCTTTTTTGAGGACTGATTTTGCTTCATTTCCAAATCAGAGGCTCAGGATCAGGCCAAAGGCAAGTGACGCCTCGCAGTGCACATGGTCGGAAGACTAAACCCCGAATTGGCTTCCGTCTAGCTCGAGCGAGCTCGCTAGTGGGCTCCTGGTCTCCTCTGGAAGGGCAAAGCGCTGGCTAAGAAAGTACCTGAGCCAGCAGAGTTACTGCAAGGGCCGAAAATCCAAGCTCCATATCAAAAGAACCAGGCTTCTGGCTTTCCAGTAGTGGTCGGGTCAGAAACATGCCCAACAAGGCGACTTTGAATGGAAGCAGAATACCTTGTTCATCCGGGGCTGATCAGCCCTGAGCGCTTTTTGGGATGAATATATCGTTCTAAGTTGTGCATTGACGAATGTCAGATTAATGGGTGTTAACTTGCGCGATTCCTATAAGCCCTGACTACATGTATGGTCCCATTAAAGGAGCAGTTCACGCTAATTGTATGGGCGGAGACAGCCAGCTTTGCGTCCTCCTCATTGGCGTTCTCTCGTCACCGCCTTAGGGAAGTGGCAGAACGAGGACTGCGGTGGGTAATTAGACTGTCTCCGCTCTTACAATCACAATCATCACTACAGAACAGCAGATTTTTTTTCTCGGTGTTTGAAAATCTAGAAGAGAATGAGGAGGTCAAGCTTAAGAGATATTCCGCGATAATGGGGTGGGCGTGGTCCATAATCATAGTGGCTTTTTCAATGGAACCGCTCCTGTTCACCATTCTAGAAAGTGGGTCCCACCAATACGGAAAGCAAAGATTTTGGTGGAATTTTCTCTGGAGGGGAGCTCAACGAGAACTAATGAATAGGAATTCATGCTGAAACGAGTGCATTTTCAGCATAGACTGTGGGAAAGTCGTGATAAAGTGTGGAGCGCAATCGAAGCCGGTGCACATATTTATGTTTGCGGGTAAGTCACTTTTCTCACTGTTTAATCTTGTCGATATAGCCTATTTTTACCCACGTCGTTGCAAGATAATCGATAATTGATTGGATTGACTGATCGCCTCTCAATTTAGTGACGCTCGTAATATGGCACGTGATGTGCAGAACACCTTGCTACGCATATTCCACGAGACTGGAGGTAAAAGCGAAGAAGAAGCGGCGACATTATTCAAGAATCTGGAACGACAACGAAGATACCAAGCTGATGTTTGGTCATAGTTCCAGCTCCCTATTTGGCCTACGCTTACCCATCTGTAGCCTAGTCGAGTTACCACCCTTTGAACTATGCCGAAACTTGCTGTCTGAGCGAATTACGGTAACTACCTCACGGGGTCACTTTCGTTGTCTTTCTCATACTATTTTTTCGAAGAGTTCACTAGGATTGTTTATTTTCAACATATCTTGTTTTTGCAATGACCGTTGTGATCGTTGCGTTTAAGTCACCCATCGGCTTGCTGCCGATCGGTTTGGCTCAAATGAGCTGGGCACATTTGTAGCACGAAAGTCCGTTACTTGTCGAGTTAGGAATCGCGCGATCGGATCGGGAAGTATAAACGAGCCCTAAAGGCAGTCGGCACTATAATTTGGTACTCGCCTGAAATGCTAGCAGGGCGCTATATAGTGGGGGAAATGGCGAAAGAACGAAGTGAAACGGTCAAAATCCTGCGAAGAAAAAGCCTCCGTTCTCAATGACTTGAAAATCAATTTCGGACGAGTTTCCCGTAGGCATCTTGCCAATAACCGCTACCGAAGATACGGCTGCATGTGTGTACTCATATATCCATGCAGCACCGCGGCCGCTTCATACCAATCCCTTCGCTTCATAATTTGCTTAGCAAATGAATCAATACGAGCGTCAGGAACGGTCGTCCATTTGTGGGCGGGCGGGCGTGGCGGGCGTGTGTTGTAGCTTGATAGGGCCCTTATAAGGGTACCTTCCTTGGAAAAGGCGCTACGCAGCGCCTGCTCAGGGTCGCGGAATTCCGTCTGCCAGGCGTCCTACTCGTCTTAGTACTTGTCGTGCCAACTGCCTTTAATAGCCAGGAAACCTGCGTTGTATCGTTGTTAGCAGCGTTTCGAGGGGTTTCGGGGGCGTGCGCTGAAGGACTACCGTAATCCCTTTGCTTGGTTTTATCTCCGGATGGAGCGTAAGATCGCCTTCAAACTTTGCGATCCGATTAAGATCGGACTACTCGATCGCTTGAATTAGCGCGATCAAATCGAGAAGTATTGAACGGTTTTGGATTGGCGTTATAGACAGTAACCGTGAATAATCCGACGAGACATGCCCCAATCATGGATAAAATAGTCGCAAGGCCATGGTAGCCTCTCAGCGTACGCAACCACAGCTGAGGAAAGTAGTGGCGCCGTGAGACGCACCCTGCCATTGGCCTCTTCTGTAGTAAACTAGCTAGTATTGCAGCGATCTCGCAAGTACAGCATGCAGTTGACCACCTCATTAGCCCGAGGCTGTGACGTCATGACACGTCATCCTGACCCTTACAGGTGACGCAATGGCGTTACATGCCTCCGTCAGCCGCCCCATTTTCGAGTGTTTTATTATTTTTTTGGTTTTCTGTACATTCTAGTATATGCATGTTCTTCTTTCTTAAGATCCCACTGGTTTTATTGATTTCATCGTATGTCAAGATTAGTTAGTTACAGTTGTATGTGCCCATATAGGCCTTTACTGTTCCAATATTATGTGATTTGTCGTCGTCAGAGACGCAGAGTAGAAACGACTCAAAATTGGGCACGTTCCAACTTTGGTCGATTATCGATCGATTGTGCTGTAGACTGTTTTTGCGGGTGATTTTACAGTAGTGTTGGTGATTATGTTTGTTGCTTTTCCTCTTAGAAAGTGATTTTTGTTGAGGTTTTGGCGGGTGCTGAGGTAGTGGGAATGGCGGTGGAAGAGAGTAAGTAGGTAATGCCCGTTTTCTGCTCGTCTACGCCCTCTCCTTGAGGCTTTGTTTGGTGCAGCTTGATGAAGGTTTCCACGAGCAATTTTCCAAGTGAGAGGGCACAGACGAGCAATGGATTGATGTCGCGTAACCACTCTGACAATTGGGCCCTCCCAACTACCATATCGCCTTTTTATGCAAGGCAGAGACGCAGAGGTTGTACTTCGATTCTTTGTCATCATTCAGATATTTGTTTTGGTGTTTGTCATTGCATGGCGGATAGTTTTATAGTTGTCATTTTCCGAGATATTTTTTGCTTTGTGCCAAATGGATAATTTTATTGGAGATGTTTTAAGTGATTGTTCTAGAGAATATCTGGATAAACTTATACGTTCACATTCTCCAACAGGAACCGTTCCTTTGGGTAGAGACCTCTTTTCCCAATTAATTAGCTATTTTCTCTAGATTATCATCGTATCCTGGGAAGCTCTGGACTAAACGAGATTTTCAGTTGCAATGGCGTTCTGAAGAGAAAGGAGCTGCAGACGGAAGTCCATCAGCGTCGGCCGCTCGTCTTTTGAGAGAACATAGGGTAACAGGAGGACAGGCGCGTCATCGCGAAGTCTGAACGCTGCTCTGAATACAACTAAGAAAATCCCAATATCGCCGAAGTTTTTGGCAATAGTCCCTGAGCACTACGTGTGAGACTGGAAATTACTTATTTAGAAGAGTACCACATGGGATCTTGTGCTGCTCACCTGAACAACATTTTCAATGTACATATTTATCCTGGAAAAAACGTTCCAATGGAAAAGAAAATTAATGCATCACGTTCCTCGACGCATGGTAAGCTTTCAGCGCTTCATCCCATCTGATTGCCTCATAAGAAAAGATAAAGGCTAAAGTCTCCGTCGTGGGAGACGGGCAAGAGAATCGTAAATTGCCGCTTCGTCGCGCGCGGCAATGGGCGCGACGTTTCCTCAATTTGCACTACCCTTTCGATTGGAGCATCGGATTTCATGTAGACAAGGACATGGTGGACACTTATGTCTATTTTTGGTCATACATTGTCTATTCTCGACCAATACCACCTAAAATCGTCGTCATTAGCGGGCGCGACGTCGCACGACGCCCACTGGCGCGGCGAATTACGATTCTCTTGCTACATACCCTTCCGCCGTTGATCTATCTTCTTTTTTGGGATGCGGCACGCATTCTACTCTCATTCAGAATACCTAGCGTATTGAACTCCATGTGGCCTACACAATGACTTGCGGAGGTCACTCAATGAACAAGTCAGTGCTCTTATCGTCCCAGACAACCGATCAACCGTCTCGGGAGGGTAGCTTTAGGTTCGCTCAGGTAAGAGCCGATCTGGCGATCCGTGCCACTAGACCACCTCCGCCTCAATTTGTATCATTGTAAAATGTTGGTTGAAATGAGGTGACTCACCATATTCCTACTCAGCTCGTAGATCAAAGTTGACGCCGTTCCGTAAAGAATGTAGGCTGGAAGTGTTTGTATTGCTCCGCGGAAACTATGACTAGTTTATGTTTGCTGCCGGTATCAAATCAACAATATCGCCACAGATCAAGGAGATC